CCAATTTCCATCTACTTTGAATACGACCCCAGCGATCACAGTGACTAAGGTTCATTTCAATGTGAATCACAGTCCATTAAATTGAGATTGCATGTCGCAATTCAATCACCCAACGTTTAATCCAAACTTGACCCTCCAATTAGCTTTATTATTCCTTATTTCCCTTGGTTTAATGAAGCACACTTGGTATGATAATATGCGCTGCATCCGAAACACAAAATACCGAATCGATCTGTTTTCCCGCCTTTGTGATTGCTACTCGCTACTCTTCGTCACAAGTTTGACTTCATTTTTCTTCATGTTCACAGTTCTGTTTAGGCCCTGAGATGAAGTGGGGCGGTCGTCTACACGCGCACGGGTCAGGCGGCTGGTCCTCTGACCTTGACAGGCGAGCTGACGCTGAGCGTGACTCACGCGAATCACACAAAGCGTGATAGACGATATGTCGGGTTCCAATCAATAGCAGATGGGACGAATCACAAAACTGGGTTAGCTAGTGAATAAACAACAGTTGGCTGCAAAGTATCAAGCGGCGCCTAACCGCAGTATTGGATGAGAAGGAGTTTAGTCTATCGTAAAGATCGGAGCAAGCTCTTTCGAGTGACTTTAAAAGATCCAATGAGAACTTGAAAATGAAGCGGTTTCGCGTTTGAGTTTCCATAGCAGCCCTGTCCAAATTACCGAAAGTGCATACGATGTTGAAGCCTTGGGAAAAATTTGATCATTTATTATCCAATTTGTAGAGCTAATAAATCCGAGTGGAATGCGTCTAAGCTCGATGCTGAGTAGTAAAATGGTGAGGGATACTCCACAAAATAGTCGCGAGCTCTGATTTGGTCCGTTCGCAAAGCCACCCATCAGTCTCGCAGGTTACTTCGCTGATACTAGACCTTCTATTTCCAGTGATCCGACTGAGCTGGAACGGTCTGCGGGTGTTTCCAGTGAGTGTGGCGACCTTTATCGGGCTTCCCGATCGCCACGAAGGCTTCGTTTGCGCTGTCAGCTGACAATACGGCGGAGTTCATTATTGCCGGTGTAACTGCGAGATTTCGGCAGTAGTCGCGAACAATACCAGAAGCGTGCACAGGTCCAACTCCTCGAGGGGTAGTAACTTTACCCACAGACTGATTGGCTCGAATTTAGCATTAGGTGCTGCAGGAAACTTTATTGGGGTTCGATGTCAATAGGCGGAACACAGGGTACTGTGTTTACCAATGGCAGTTGATAGTTCAGCCGAGTCGACTGATCAGCTAGCTTGTTCCTACCGAGCATACTATTCTTCCATTTCAGAGGCCCTAATCGCATGCAGATGGTAGCACAAACCAATGCTTGATCGGATTCAATATAAATAGTCCAAAATGGTATACTGTCTTGTATGTTACTCCGCCATTTGAAGTCTATTTGTAATGTGGTCTATTTGTGGTCATGACTGCGTAACTGAAGGAGGATGCCAGGTGAAAAAACGCCTCCCAGAGTGCCTGAAGTTTGTGCTTGTGAGAAAGAGACCGTTGTTCTCACACAGTGAGAAGCCTGCTTCCATTATCTGAGTTAATCTCGCTCAGTGCGTGATAGCCACCTAAGTGGTATTCATCTGAAAACAGGCGACCAACACCTGCGTTGAATTTTCTGATAAGAAAAATGACGTCTTGTTTGGTGACTTTGCGTAGCAGTTAGTGATAAAACGCGCCTTTGATCGATTCCCAGCTGAAATCGGTTGGCGCATAGGCGGACATCACAAACAGGTTGCGCCTCTTCGCCCTGTACTTCTTAATCCTGTATGAGTGTTGAAGGCGGACTGCACATAGTGGACTCTAAATTATTTGAATTGTTGGGAACTCGGGAGGCTTGTTCAGTTGTCGTGGTGTTTGCAGAGCTGGGCAACTTGATTGCAGACGTTTCAGCACCATTCATTATGATGTCATCAGTTCAGGAGTGGTAGCAGGTTCGTAGCAGGAGCTAGCAGAGGACAAATCCAAGGATGAAAGACGCGACAACTGAACCTAGTCTGCTGTTAACCAGCAACCGAACCCAAGTGTGACCTCGGCTTCGCTGTTTAATGCCACGACAACATCAGCCAAACAAGCTGCAGCTGCTTCTGTGTCACCAGACAAAACAAAACAGATTGAAACTCAACTTTGCAACTGTCTGAAGCGGCTTCGAAAGGATGCTTACATCAACGAAGTCACTTATGAACAATTTCGGTTGGTAAGAACGGTTATTCCAAGGCTTTATGTGCTACCAAAAACTCACAAGCCTAACATCCCATTTCGTCGCGTCTTGGATATGAAAAACTCCCCATATCACTCGGTGGCTGGTTTTGATTCTTACGCTTATTCGAGAATGAATTATCGTGCACAGTGCAAAGGGTAGTTTTGAGTTTGTGGATATCGTGCGTGATGTAAATGTTTTCAATCTAACCATGTGCTCCCTGGATGTTACTTCACTCTACACCAACGTACCATTAGTTCAGACTATCAACTGCATCTGAGACAGACTGTATTTAAGAGCAAGTAAATGGGTTACTGGTTAACTCTATCGAATTACGAAAAATCATCAACATCTGTGAGTATGTTGATGCGAACCACATTAATGTTGGCATACCCACGGTGATCGATCCTAAAAGAAATATTGCTCAGGTGCACGTTCAATGTTCAGTTTCTATTCAGTGGCGAATTATACAGGCAGTACGATGTGTTCCCCATTAGGTCCGTTCCTCGCCGACGTCTTCATGGACATACTGGAACAGGGAAAGCTAAAACCAACGATCTCAAGTCTCGGTTGATATTGCTCTTACGTAGACGACATTTTTGTCTTGCTTCAGTCGTCTCGAAGTATCAAAGTACTAACAAACAATTTCAACCAAGGCCATCCAGTAATAAAGTTCACCTGCGAAGTTGAGGAAAACAGTCGCTTTCATTTCCTCGATGTCGCCATGAAAAGACTGGATGGGGGTGCGGTACAGCGCTGCGTCTATAGGAAAAGTACATGGAATGGGCAGTGCACAAACTTCTACAGCTTTGTGCCACTTAGGTTTAAACGGAACTTGATAAATACCCTAGTGAGCCAAGCTGAACGTATATGCTCGAATGACACGCTTCCAAAAGTATTGGAGTGCATTCGCTTAGTGCTAAGAACGAACGGCTATCCGGAAAGCTTCCTCAGAGACAACATGGAACATAAGAAGAAAAAGCCTGTTATTTTTGCCAGTAGAACACAAACCAATCTTCCTACAGCTGCCATATAAGGTCGAGGTTGCGACGAAACTTCTACCTCGTCGTCTTTCGTTCGTACTCAAACGCACCTATCCAGCAGCGCAGATGCGAATTCCGTTCACTAGCATTCCGATGGTGAGACTAAACTCAAGGGATAAGAGGCCTGTGTACACCAATTCTATGTATCTCCACTCATTTTCATGCTGCTGTGGAGCCGAATACATTGGTCGTACGACACGGCGTCTATCTGTGAGAATGAAGGAAAATCACCCGGTCGGGCTTAGAACTGGAAGCGGAAATACAGCGCACTCTTCAGTTGCCGCGCACCTAGCCGATACAGGACACGCCGTAAAGTTCACTGATTCGTTCAAAATTATCTATCAGGCCCCAAAAAACCGCCCGAACTGTTTCCGCAAGCGACTACTAGAAGCCGCTGAACCAATTGCCATCCGGGTGTATAAACCGGAGCTGTGTTCAGAAGAAGCTAACCAAAGGCTTGGGACTGCCCTGGCCCAAACGGCCGGTGACTTCTGACCCACGAGGTGACACGCGGTAGGTTGTCTTGGCTTAACAGACAGCGCTGTCAGCATCCAATTAACTCGCTCTAGTAGTAACGACTTGTAATGTCTGTCTGCACATTTTGATTTGCATATAATTGTATAAGCCTGAAGATTAATTATCGAAAACATATGTTCGTTTACCCTTACTTCTGATCATACACTATGGGATATTTTAAAGTTGCAAACGTAGGTTGTATGTGACTTTCTGCTGGTTCGTAGATCACAGCCTATCTTATAATCCTGCGGTCGCGTCTTCTAGTCTGCATAGGGGACCGGGCGACCCTCGCAGTATCCTCAGTCCACATGCAACTGACGGTGGTTGCGCGGCAGCGTAGCGTCGGTAGGGCGTACCGGCGTACTGCTGATGCTTTTTTGTATGTGGCTTCGTCATTGGTTGGAGATGTTAGATTGAGCACAATGCTTAGGTTTTGGAAGTGTTTCAGCAAGCAGCATATATCATTAGCGGGAGAACTCTTCGTACGTGCCATACAGACCTGTTGCCGGGCCAGGCGTTCTGGGCAGTGGCAAAACTGATGTGTGAGTTAACACGAAAGTAATATGGATTAATAACGGAAGAATGGTTGGTGTGTGATAAATCTTGTTAAGATTCGATGAACGCAGGTACGAGAGAAGTAGTAGCGAAGCAGCAGTGTAATCTATCGTTTTCTCAGAGGACGCGATAACACCCAGTTGTCCAATCGGATATAGAGAGCTGATTTAAGGGACACCATCCCGAGCCTTTGGCTCAACACCCTACCCACAAGGCAGCAGTGCGAATTCAGGGAATCGCACTCAGTGAGAGCCGGTAACCGATCTCTCGGGTCGTACGCCTTTTGTTTGGTAAGTTACCATATAGGAGCCAATGTTTCCCACCATCACTACACCCATCTACTTGAATTCAACGTTACACGACGGTTAAGTAAGGACAGGGACTTTATCTAGTGGCATGTCACATCCACCACGTCGCAGTGTTGTTAAGCAGACATCTGTGGCTTTTCTAGATGGAAAACGCTTGTCAGGCGAAAACCCACCACGTCCTAGAACACTGTCGTCGAGTCATTTGCTGGAGCGGCAAAACCTGAACCAACCAGTTGGCATCATAGGGAAGTTGTTCGGCGAGCTAGCCAGTGACGTCACTACAAAACATTCACTTCACACATTACTTGCAGCTTCGTCATTATCATTTGTATTCGTCGTTTGACTCCTCATTTCATTATCCGCCCTATAGGTATTTGATCAAGTAGACTTCCTACTCACTCCCACGACTCTTGGACCACCGACCCGGCTTACGGACTTCGTCCAACTGGACAGTCGAACTCGGTGCACCATGGATGACGTGTGCACCGTCGGAGCGAATTTGGCTGGCGTTCCGGCAGTGTCGATCCCTGTGTGTCTCTCTTCATCCACAGGGCTACCAATCGGATTACAACTGATCGGACCGGCTTTGAGCGAAGTTGGATTGCTACGATTAGCCGCCCACATCGAATCCATGGTCGCGTTTCCAAGCCTGGTAGATATGATCGGACTGTTAGACCAGCTGCGAACCTCATCTTGACTATATGTACATTTGTTACAGCTGCCACTGTTATATGATGGTGACAATACTTTGTAATCCTGTTCTTTTTAAGTTCCGAAGTATGGTAGCATTTAGCGGTCCCGGTTTGGTAATTTGCTCATATAGTCACACACGAAAGTCGGAAGCGCATTGTCCTATTTATGGAAGTAACGGCGATGTTCACCTAAAAACGATCTGAAATTGTACTAGCGCTCTTATTTGTCCCACAATTTTGCTGGTGTTCCACATCTTAATGAGTCGGAACGGCTTTGAGGCTTCATTGAAATAATAGGAGCCGTTCATTTTATTGTACTGAAATCAAGAAAGTAGTTGGAGAATATGAATTATATAGGTAGAAATTCATCACATCTAGACTCAGTCATACAGCCATCACACGTCAATAATATTTATCGCAAGGAGACTGAATCTTGACGTGGTGGGACGGTTCGCATACCTCCTGGCTGGGGCACTCGGGTCCCTTAAGAGTTACTCTTACCAGGTTGGTCAGTGGTTATGGGTCAGACGAACTCTCTCCTGGCCAACTTCGGGTTTGAAATGGGATGGCGTCCATTTCTGTAAAATTAAATCATTCCCACCTCTCCGTTGCATTACGGACAAGCTTTTGAGCCAAATGCTCTAGTTAAGGACCCTACTCGTTCTCCTGTCTAGGTCTGGGCGCCTTGGCAGTATCTCAGCCCACACACAACCATGACTGTTTCTTCAAATTTCAACCATATACTTCGTCGGCCGTTGCGCAGATTAGTTAGGATCGCCTTATCTGCTGCATACAGCACTGCGGATAAGCGGAAACATACTACTGCTGGCGGCTCCTTTCCTTTCCACTCGTTTCTCTTACTCCCCTCCCAGTCCCCACTACTAGCCTTCTTTCTGTTATCCCCAGTGTAATTGGTAACAGCCGCAATGTCATTGGAGTCGAACCATCTGCAGCTACGTTTCCGCACCACGCACTGGACAACAATCCCCTACAACTCATTACGAGGCCACACCGTCACGTTTCCCTGGCGGCATTCAACCTTCACACTCTAAGACAAGGAGGTCGACAGTCTGCACTCGCATGCATGTTTGGCACGGTGTTTATTGGCCTGTGTTTTATGTCTGAAACCAGGATCAATGACCATAATGGGGTTGTTGAATCAACTGCGCCCGGTTTATCCTCCAGCTATTGATTGCACGCATGCGGAGGCGCTGATGCGGCTACCACTGGTCAAGCTGGGTTGGCATTGTTCTCAGCTGTAAGGCAGTCATCGTTGGTTGATTAGATTTCCATGAACAGCCGTTCGCATACAGGTCGTTTGGCTACAGGGTTGATTCACGAATTGGCACTATACTCTGTTTGTTTGTAGTTTGCGCTTATGCTCCCACTGATTTCAGCTTTGATGTTACCAAGGACACATTTACCACGAACTGAACCTGCTACTGCGCAGGTATCATAATTCTTGCCGAAGATAAGCATGCGTAAGAAGGTCGTCTGATCTACTGAGAAGCTCTGCTGGGTGCTACTTATGGACTTAACTCCGACCGGACTGACAACGGCTAGTGTCTATGTGCGGATCACGGGCTGTTTCTTAGTAGTACCGTTTCTAGCCACAATGGGCGCCAAAGTGCCACTTGGCATCGTCCTGTGGTTGACCAACAGTGGACAGAAATAGATCAAGTTGCCATAAGTTACAGGTGGCGGGGCCCCATCCTGGACTGTCACTCGTTATGGAATGTCTGTGTTTTTCCATGAACTTTGCTGGGAGGTGTACATATCATCTCCTTCGATCATCGACTGAGAAGTTATCTCAGCGCTCGGTCAGGCATGCCTACTAGAATGCACTGCGTACCTAACTATCGCTCTCTTTCCTAATGACATTGAGCTTCATTGGAATCGGATCTCGGACGCCATGTAACAGCCTACGCTTGAACTGCATACTTGATCCAGTCAGAAGATTTCCGGTCGAGCACACTCTGTCGAACACCGAGATACTTCCCTATTTGCAAGACATAAACTCAAACCACAAGCGCATGTGTTCATTTGACCTTCGGTCGCTTTTCACCAACGTTCCGTTGAACGAAACTGTTGACCACTTATGTGAGTTTATCACGACGTACTACAGTTCCCCACGGAAATACTGAAAAACGTATTCCTGCTGCGCATAAAACTTCTCGACAGATCACTTGTGTGGCTATGGGCAGCCCATTAGGCCCCTTGGTGGCGGACGTATTCATGTGTATGATTGAAGCGAAACTAAACATCATCAACTCCGCAACTTTACATAGACCCTATGTTGACTAAATATTGTTAGTCATGAACTCGGATGAAGATAGCACTTTCAACCAAAATACTCAATAGTGTGCAGCGGAATCTTACCGTGACGTGCGATGCTGGGCACGACAATAGTCTCACATACCTAGACATACTGCTCACACGACAAAGTAGTTCAGTCACAAGGGGACATGGACCGTTCAGTGCTTACATTTTAAGAGTTTCTCACCGATCCATCGCAAGCGCTGAGGTGCTTCCCACCTCTAGCTAACGTGCATAACGTGTGTGTATCGCAAGCGCTTGAACTTTGTTCTATCGAGCTCATACATTTTACGCCACAGACACACTGGTAGCAGAGAATGACCTGCGCTGTCTGACGTGCTGCAATCTAGTGTTATCTATTGCAACTCATAAAACGCTTCCGTGGCAGTATGAAACGAGACCGAGGGTTAGCAGTTTAAGAGAAGCCGGTTTTCATTGAGTTAGAACACAACTGAGCGACTTGACACCTACTTCCTCATTTACCGAGGATATATTCAGTGCCAACTTAGTTCGCCTCAGTCAGAAATATTTGAGCTACGAACCCTAGTCCTCACGTGTCTTGACTAGAAAACACCAAGGCACCATCAGGGAATTGGGATCGAATCCAGGTGTGATAATTTCTAGGCCCGATAAAGAACCGGGACGACTGCTGATGGATACATCTGACTATGTTTGAAAGACGCACGAAAATACTCACATGAGACGGCGCAGAATGACAAGACCGCGCAGGATGAGCACAAAATCAAGTGAGTATTGAATGAGCTGGGATGCATGAACCTGATAGATGGCGCACTACTTGGACGGCTAACCCCATTTGCATCACATCCTCCCTGACTTAACGGGTTCCACACGCATACCACAGTTTCCTCTGCTTCCGATAATTGACATGTCAACCTGGCTTTTCACTCGGTTGCGAAATGGATTGTAGGATTGCTTGAACTCGTAGGCAACAAGTTATGCACTTAGAATTTGAAAGACACTCGGATTTTTTGAAACCAATCGAATAAATGAGTGTATGGTATATTGGTGCTCTCTTTCGGCGTCGAGTCTCTACGAACGTTCCCTTGATAAAGACGGTTAATCTTAATTGTGATCACTTAACTAAAAACAGCATAAATGTGGGTATTCCGGCGCATAGACTAATGATGCACCTTAAACAGAGTTTTTATTTGATGGGGTATGCTGCAGACAGATCGACGGAGTCGCAATGGGGTCTCCCCTGGGACCGCTTCTTGTTGACATTTTCCTCGCTATGCTTGAACATAGACATATGCAATCCATCGTCTCTTCGTTTTCTTCCTATTGTCAATATACGGAGAACACATTTGTAGTCCATGATTCAGAAACTGATGTTTCCAACCTGTTGAACCAGTTAAACAGTGTGCATTCACCAGTGACATCGAAACGATGATAAGCTTGTCTTCCTGGGCGTTCCACTAAGAATAAGGGAAGGTTATTCACTAGAAAAAGTGGGTTGGTCAGTTCATTCACTATCTCCGTATTTTACCCCTAAAGTACAAACGCAACTTTGTTCCTTGCTTGTACTTCCGGGTTCCCTAAATTTCCAGTCCGGTAACATTGGGGGCCGGAAAGAAGACGGTTACCCAGCCCCGTTCATCCGAAAGCACCCAGTGATTCACGATCGTCGTAAAGTCATTACAAGTAAATAAAGTATATTTATAGACTGTTGCTAGAAGGTGTGCCCGCTAGGGATCAGATCAATATGTGCGCAAATCCCATGCTCTTGCATGGTGAGAATAGGTAAATAAACGGTTTGTTCTCCAGTGCATCAAGGTATACCATGTCAGGCATGATCAAAAAATGTGAATATGATCAACTTGCTAGTGTGAGTTTGTAGGCTGTGACTATTCAGTGGCGAATCGCATCTGCCACATCGCAATGTTGTTAAGCGGACATTTGTGGCTTTTTGTAGTTGGAACGCTTGTCAGGCGAAAACGCAACAAGTCCTGGAGCACTGCCGTCTGTAATGTAAAACTGTGTAATGTAGTGCTGTTCCCAAGTAGCATGTGTTTCTATCAGTTCTCTTCAAGGGAGACATTGCCTTCGATTTGCTGAACAAAAGACTTTCTACTGCAGTATCGCGGACCTCTATCGCCTGTCCAAACCTCATTGCAAAGCCGCGCCGTTTATTTGTATAGCATCTCTAAGACATGCTCCCGGTCCTGTCTGAATCCTACATTCCATATCATTTTACTTGCACCTGTGTGCGGGGTACGTCCTATCTACGACTAGGCGTTTGTCTAAACGGATAGCGGAGCACTGCCCAATGACATTGCAGTGGGGTACTCTCAGTTGCATCAAGACTTCCATCGTAGAACACCAGGTTGAAACTCGTATTCATACTACCGCACGTTCATGGGTAACACGTTGAAATGCCGCACTAAGGCGCATGTAAAAGGTTACCCGAGAAATTTCCAGCAGCTTTCCGCCCATCTAATAATGAATATTTGCCGAACTTACGCACACAAACGCACTTGCCGGCCTGCCTACCAATAATGTAGCTCTGCCCCTAGGTGTGCATGCTCATGGATGCTGAACAGACATACGCTGAGTGACCGCTCGTCTAGGGACGGATGAGGCCTAGTAGCCAGTGGAATTATCGATAGGTTGACAGAACACACGGTAGGCGTAGTTGGTAATGTGTGATGCGTGCGTTTTCGGCTGGCCTAAGAAGCCCGACTTGGAATATGACGATCGATAGGTAGGCAGCGCTTAATTGACCTAA